ATTATTGGTGGCCAATAGTCAATTATATTTTTTTAAATTATACATTTACCGACTAATGTTTTAGTCGCCAATACTCAAGGAATCAGCCACCAAACCTTTTAGTCGCCAAAAGTGATTTTGTGAAAAAAAAAAAAAAAAGAAATTACACTCTGCTCTTGTGGAGATTCAAACCATCAACCTCCCACACCATAAACCTTATACAACACCCTCTTTCCACTATGCCTCCATAACACCATATGATTATATATGCAACATATACTATTTATATAGTATATAGACCCATATTAATATAAAAGTATATATATAAAGATAATTATTTTTTATTGAACATAATTTATGTAAAAATAAATTATTTATTAGAAAAAAAAGAGACTACTTTTGGTGACTAAACATAATTTTAGTCGCCAATTCTATACTTTTGGCGACTGAACTTCTTTTTAGTCGCCGAATGCCTCACTTTTGACTACTAAATTATTTTTAGTCGCCAAAAATCCTCACTTTTAACTACTAAAATTTTTTAGTCGGTAAAGGCCTCCCTTTTGGCTACTAAATTTTTTTTAGTCGCCAAAGGGCCTAACTTTTGGCTACCAAAATTTTTTTAGTCGGTAAAAGCCTCACTTTTGGCGACCAAACATCAATTTAGTCGCCGAATGCCTCACTTTTGGCTGCTAATTTTTTTTAATAGCCAAAGGGCCTAACTTTTGGCTACTAAAAATCTTTTAGTAGGTAAAAGTCATATATCGGCTTAAAAGTATGCCTTGCGGTATCTAATAATTAGTTACGGCTTAACTCCAGCGACAAATATTTTTGTTTTTTCACCCCCATATTCGAGTTCCTTCTATGTTGACACAAAGCGATCCAAATGTTGCGTTTGCCAAACCTCGCCACTAGCCGATGCAAAAAGGTAACTTTTGGCTACTAAAAATCTTTTAGTAGGTAAAAGTCATATATCGGCGACCAAACAGATTTTTAGTCGCCAATTACTATACTTTTGGCTACTAAATTTTTTTAGTCGCCAAAAGTCTTTACTTTTGGCTACTAATGCTTTTTTAGTCGCCAAAAGCTATACTTTCAGCGACCAAATTTTTTTTAGTCGGGAAATTTGGTCGCCAAATGTGCTTTTTCATGTAGTGACAAAAAAGTGGTCACAAAAGTTGCTACGGGAAAAAAGGGGGCCTCAAAAAATTTTTGGGCTTTTTTTTTTTTTTTTTTGGCGTCGGCAATTTGGTGGTCGCAAATAAACATTGGACTTTTCGTGGCCGGACACTTGCTGACACTAAAGGTATATTTTTCATTGGCATTTGGGTGGTCGTAAATAAAATTTTTCAACTTGTTCAATTTTAATGTTTAGAAAATTCAACTTTTTTATTTTTCGTTTTTTTTTTTTTTTTGGTTTTCAATGATTATTAAAATTTTAATTTGCAAAAACACGAAAAATTAAAATTTTAATTTGCAAAAAATTAAATTCAAAAAATTGAAACCACACACACTACATATTTTTTAAGAACTTTTTTTGGCTGTAAAGTTGGCGACATGAAAAGTATGCCTTGCGGTATCTAATAATTAGTTACGGCTTAACTCCAGCGACAAATATTTTTGTTTTTTCACCCCCATATTCGAGTTCCTTCTATGTTGACACAAAGCGATCCAAATGTTGCGTTTGCCAAACCTCGCCACTAGCCGATGCAAAAAGGCATTTTCTAGTAGTGTAATGGCTTTGACAAACTGTAGAAATTATCTAGTAAGTTAGTGCAACTATATCTTCATGTGTTTAGTCCATGATATATTATAATATGTTCACCTTCTCTTTGTTATGTGGGTCATTTATTCAGTTATCTTCCTACTATTAATTGGACACAGCTAATATGAAATTCTTGAAAAATAAAATAATTATTTCACAAACTAGCCTTTGTCTCATGGTCATTAGCCTTGTGAGTAATAATATAAATGAATCCAATATGAGCCATGTAATAATTTAGTCCATGGAAAAATTACAAGTGAGTTCTATTGAATGGACTTAAATACTTTTAAGACCTATACACTTGTTAAATATACTAAAAATTATAAAATACTTATTTTATCCTCATTTTTATTTTGTGAATGCCAAAAGACAACTCTTTCTCTCTCCACTATCTCTTTAAGAGCCTCAGACCACCGACTAAAAAATAGTTTGGTCGCCGATTATACGTGTTTTACCGACAAAAATAAAATTTGCAGCCAAAAGTAAAGCTTTTGGCTACTAAAAAATATTTAGTAGCTAAAAGTCTACAATTGGCGACTAAAATTCAGTTTAGTAGCCAAAAGTGGAGGTTTTTGGGGACTAAAAACAAGTTTAGTTGCCAAAAGTGGTTATTTTTGGGCTGAACTTATTTTTTTAGCGACTAAAAAACAATTAGTAGCCCAAAATTATAGAATGGGCGACTAAAAAATAGATTTAGTCGCCAAAAGTCACCTCAATTTTTTTTAGTAAATAATTTATTTTTTACATAAATTATATTAAATAAAAATAATTATATTTATATATATAGTTTTATATTAATACGGGTCAATATACTATATAAATAATATATATTACATATATATTGATGTGGTGTTGTAGTGGCACGGTGGAGGGAGTGTGTTGCTAAAGGTGTAGAAGGTAGAAGGTTCGTGGTTCGAATCTCAAAAAAAACAGAAAAGTTAGTTTTTTTTTTTTTTCTACTGAACAACCTTTGGCAACTAAAACTATTGGTCGCCAAAAGTGTTTCTTTTGGTGACTAAACAGTTTGGTCGGCGTTCATTGACTATTAGCAACTAAAACATTAGTCGCTAAATGTATAATTTTAAAAAGTGGAATTGACTATTGGTCGCTAAAGACCTGTGTTTTTGCCGACTAAAATCTTTTTGGTCGCCAAAACCTCTGGCGACCATGTTTTCGCGACAAAACCAGCAACTAAAAAATTTAGTCGGGAAACTAAAAACAAGGTTTTTGGCGACTAAAAGTGAACTTTTGGCGACTAAAAATTTAGTCACCAAAAGTGATTTTTCTTGTAGTGTCCACTTTCACAATCATTAATCTACAATTCATTGTCGCTAATCTACACTATCATCTCTTATCTATACTCTATCATTGTTGATCCACCACTACTGTTCACTAACCACCTCTACCATCACCGATCTACATTTCACCATCGCTAATCTTTAGAGCAACCATTTAAATCTCGCCATTTACAATATCGATCTATGATTTTGGACATTGATTTGATACCGTAACCATCTTTGCTGTCGAGATGTAGCCATTACATGGTATTCAAAGCTCTTACTAGTGAGATCTCTCTCTCTCTCTCTCTCTTTCTGAGTAAAGATCCAATACCAAATTTGTTGTTTGTAAAATCTAAATAAATTTATCAATGAATAAAATTACAATAATAAATTTGTCGGTGTTTCTTTTATTTTTTATTTTTTATTAGTTACAATACAATTGTGTGTGTTTGTATTTTTGTGAATGAATAACTAAGTGGTCGTGGATATGAGAGGGAAAGAAAGTAACTAATTAGTGTTATCAATAATAAAATTTTGAAAAATGTTTGAGGGCCACAATTTTTGTGGCTCAAATGGCTCGAAATTGCCAAAACGACGTCGTTTTGGCAATTTCGAAGTTGTTTTGTACTCAAAACGACGTCGTTTTAGTAATTTCGAGCCATTTGAGCCACAAAAATTGTGGCCCTCAACCATTGCTGTAAAATTTTATCACTACCAAATTTTCATTCTTCCCTTTCCTTTCTCCCCATCCATTTCTATTGTCACCACCAGATCTAAGGAGATGGTGAGAGTAGTGACATGGCTAAGGGTACAACTTGGATGGGTTCGGTTAGGTTGAGAGGTTGTCCAAACTCAGTCCAAATTATACCGAGATCTCTCCAGTCTCGCCCAGGCCTAAATTATAACCCGAGTTTGTCTTTCTAAGCCCAACCTAAGTTAAATTTGAGTTGTCTAAATTGCACATAAATTCTAGTGTTTTTTTTTGGTGCAACTAAATTAATAATTTATTAAAATTAAACTCTATTTACAATTTTGTTTAGAAAATCATTAATAACATGAAAACAAATAATTTTTATAATGTAAGAGAGGTACCATTATGGTAGTCTTTACAATTTATAAGTGAAAATACAAAAAAAAAAAAAAAGATTTTGTGTTGTGTTACTTGTGTATATAATATATTCAATATAATTTAATGATTTAAATTACTTTAATATCATGTAATGACTAATAATTTTATGTATATTTAATATTTTTATATATCTATATATATAATTCGGGTTTCGGGTTTCAGGTTGCTCGGAATGTCTTTGCTCAAACCCATCCAAATTTAATTCGAACTTCTAAATTTTTGTTCAAATTTGTATCGAATTCAAAAATATCGTATCCAAACCCTAAAAAAATTAAGACTAAACTCAGATTGCTCAAGTTAAATCCGCCCAAGTTGCAACCCCAGACATGGTAGAGATGGACGTTTTTTTCTAGAAAATTTGTTAGAAAATTGTTGAAAAAATATCTCCAAGCACCAGAGGTGGTTGCTGGTGGTTGGAGACGAGATGACGACTGATTGTCAGAGAGGTCGGCCAGAGGTTATTGGTCAAAGGAGGGAGGGAGTCCTAACATTGTTGATAATGGACATCAAGAAGGTGAAGGGAGCACATTTTGAGAATATTAATATATGAAAAAAAAGAAAAAGAAAAAGAAAAGAAAGAAGGATAAGAGTTACAAATAAATAAGTTCAGTCAATAAAATTGATTTGTAAGCATTCCTAAATACATTGAAGGAGGGTTTTGGAATTGAAAGGCTGTCAAATTCTTTGTAGCCCGTTCACAATAAGCCTAAATTTAAATACAACGAGCTTATCTAAAAAGTATAGCATTGCCTAGGATATATATTTAAATGGACCAACATGCACTTAATGCTTTTGTGAAGTTGAAAACAAATTAATGAAACAACTTGAAAATGCTTAGATGGATGTATACCTTGTAACGATGATAAGAATCAATAGCCACATCTCCATTACTACCATCTTGTATTTTACCTGCCACATCACATCAAAGGTTTATCATAAATGGTTTCTATCAGATTCAACTGTTGGTTGGGTGAAGATGAAGGGTTGTTTATGTCAAGTCGAGTTGTTAACCTAAACTCCACTTAAATTAATTTGATGATTGTAAGAGAAAAAGTGAAATGATTATAACTTTAATATAATATTTTATCTTATTAATTATTTATTTTGTCATTTAGTGGGCTATTTTAGCTCAACTTTCTTTTCAAACACCCCCTTGTATAACAACGGGCAAAATAGTGTGTACTATATTTAAGTTATGATATTTGTGAGGCTGACTAGCACAAATATCATAACTCAATCCTATTATAATAATAATAATAATAATACCACATATCTTAGGTCATAATCAAAATAATATCATAATTAACATTATAATAAATCATAATTAATACTACAATATTTATAAGTCATAACTAAAATTTCAATAGGTTATAATTAAAAATCACAAAAATCATAACTAAACGTACATGACACACAACCCAAAATGAGTGTATACCATAAAATTTATGGTGATATTACATGCATCAATTAATCTATATATTAGTGTATCAACTAGTATTATGTTATTATTACTGGCTCCACCTATTATAAAAATTATAAATATCCAAAATTAGTTTACATCATCTATTAGTATACTAATTAATACATATAGCATTATTTTAAAATTTATCTATAACAAATACCACTATTGGAGCAGGACACCAAAACCACATAATATAAACTTAAGAGTAGAGAGCAGAGACAAATTGCCGACATGGTTGCGTTATGAATATAGAAATTATCACGAGTTTGGAATCCATGTCATTATCTGCTCATTCAATAATATCTTGTAATTTTTTAATAAATATATTAATTTCAGGGTTATGTAATTATTTAGGCTTTTACTATTAAGAGAAAATTGGTGAAAAGACAATTCTAAGGGAGTACAAAGAATTAGATTTAAAATAATAATAATAATAATAATAATAATAATAATAGTGACAAGAACATGTCGAAAAAAGTCGTCGAAAAATTGATCGGAAAAGTCGTTGGCGGCGGTGATCGGCGGCCAGCGACAGTAGGTGGTGGTGGTGAGTAGTGAAATGTGTGGTATTTAATAGATGTGGTGTTAAATGAGTGACATGTGTCACATTTCAACAAATATGTTGTTGAATCAGTGACATGTGTCATATTTTAATAGATAGTTTAGGAGTTGTTTGGAAAGTGCTAGATTAATATACTTTTTGTTTTTTTACAAAAAAACATAAAATATGAGTTTGGTTTGAAGTGATGTGGTAGAGAGATGATGTAATTTAAATAAGATAATTGTGACCTAAATAGACAGAGAGATAGGTTAATTTCAAAAGATAGATAGATTTATGGATAAATTACACTAACGGTCCCTCTAGTTTGGTCTTTGTATCACTTTAGTCCTTGACTTTTCAATTGTGACACATTTGAACTTAAATTTTGAATTTTGAATTTTTTTCCAAATGAAGACAATTGAAAATATCATTAATCAATTTTAAGGAAAAAATCGTCAATTTGATAAAATATAAACTAATTTGACAAAAATAAATGTCAAAAAAATATTTCTAAATTTTTTTAAATTATTTTTACCCCTTAAAGATAAAATTATGAAAAATCAATAAATTTTTTAGACATTTATTTATTTATTTTTCACCAAATTAATTTTTATTATGTGTTTGGATGATGATCATGTAATGAGTGGGTTTTTTTTTTTCATTAAATTAGTTTCTATTTTTTTCAAAAGTTAAATATGGCGACAACTTTGATATCATTATTAAACCAATCCATTAAATTAAAAAATCTAAAACTAAAACTATTTCATATATTAAATATATCGATTACATATTAAAAGTCTAACAAATGTTCATTACATGATTATCATCCAACTATATAATAAAAATTAATTTGGTAAAAAAAATAAAATAAATATCTAAAAGATTTATCAATTTTACATAATTTTATCTTTGGTGGGTAGAAATTATTTTTAGAAATTTAAAAAAAAAATTAATATTTATTTTTGTCAAATCAGTTTATATTTTATCAAATTGATAACTTTGTCCTTGAAATTGAGCAATGGCATCTTCAATTATCCTTATATGGAACAAGATTCAAAATTCAGGATCAATGCGTCACAATTGAAAAGTTAAAAACTAAAGTGACACGAATCCCAAACTATAAACACTGTTAGTATAATTCACCTTAGATTTATTGATTTCAACATATAGTTATTATTTTCGACAAATTGTGTTCTTTTCGAATTTTTTAATTGCCATTCAAACTCCGGTTAAATTTAGTCTTTAGGCCTTGTTTGGGAACATGCTAATTTAGTAATTTTTTGACTATTTAGCTAAAATATGAGCTAAAAAAAATAGTATGTTTGGGATAACTTTTTGACTTTTTACGAAAAGATGTGCAAAAAATAGAGAGAAAAGAGAATCTTTGACTTTTTGGTATGGGTTGTTGGCTTTTTGGCTAATTTAGGCCTCGTTTGGAAACAGGCTAATTTAGTAATTTTTTGGCTATTCGGCTAAAATATAAGCTAAAAAAACTAATATGTTTGAGATGACTTTTTGGCTTTTTACGAAAAGATGTGCAAAAAGTAGAAAAATTTTTTTTTTGACTTTTTGGTATGGGTTGTTGGCTTTTTGGCTAATTTAGTAACTTTTTAGCTTTTTGGCTAAAAATGAGGGTTCCCAAACGAGGCCTTGGTCAAGTTGCACAAGCTCGTCTGAACAATTTATTATGTAAAACAAAACAGTTATTATCAATAGGTCATAATAATTAAATTTAATTTTCATCAAATCCTATTAAAAATAAGTCTTAATAAAATAGTTGCTAAAAATAAATTTTCATGCCACTTTTTTGCATTTATTTAAAAATTGATAATTAGCGACTTTTTTTTGTCATTATTTTTATAAATTATCGTTGAAACTTACAATTAGTGACTTTTTTGTGAATAATTTTTCAAACTATCGCTGAAAATTAAAAATTAGTGATTTTTTTTTGTGATGTTTTTTTTTTGAATTGTCGCTAAAACTTATAGTTAGTGACATTGTTTATGGCAAAATTTTTAAACTGTTGCTAAAAATTAACAATTAGTAATAAATTTTAATAATATTTGATAAAAAAATAATATTCAATGTGTTTGGTTTGAGTTTTTTAGATTGAGTTTTTTAAAAATTAAGTTTTTTAGTTTTCATATTTTTTTGTTTTTAGTGAATATTTTTAAAATTTTAAACATTTTTTTTTAACTTTTTTAGATGCACCTTACTTAGATGTATGTAAAAAGTAAAAAATTTATGAAAATATATTTTAAAAAATTAATAAATACATAAAAATATAAAAAAAAAGTGCTGAATTCTCGTAAAATATATAAAAAAAAAGTGCTGAATTCTCGTATTTTATTTTGTATTTTTGATATTTAGTGAATTGTTAAAAAGTTTTTTTTCAAATTTTTTTTACTTTTTAAGTATATTTATGTTAGGTATGTCTAAAAAATAAATAAAATTGTTTAAAATATTAAAAAAAATTCAATAAAAACAAAAAAAATACGAAAAATAAAAAATAATTTTTTTTTAAAAAAATGAAACCAATAAAACTTATTAAACAATAAATTCACTTATTAAAATTTACGCTTTATCTCTTCCAAAAATTTAAAATGGGGCTTCGATTTTTGTGACTGTCCGAATTGGACCCTGACCATACTGTTTGACTGTAGCTAAAGGACATAGTTACCGACACTGAGAGGTTTTACAAAGGTAATAAACAGAAAGATTCTAAATTGTTGATTTATTAATTGCACAATAGGACAAATAATGTTTGTCGAAATTGTTAAAATTTTCCCCATGCTTTAGATCTTAAATTTGACCTCCAAACCTGAGGTTCTAAATAAAAAATTTCACTTATGTTGGGTTTAGATCATAAATTTCAGTAGAAATCTAAAAAAAAAAAAAAATACAAGTACAATTTATTCATTTATATTTCACTCTATTTTTCTTTTTTCTTTAAAAATTCATATCGAAATCTATAATTCAAAAGGAATCTTAGGAATTTTAAATCTTATTCAAATCTTAGGAATATTTGGCATGATAAATTCAAATATTGGGTTTGAATTTTAAATTTGTGTGAAATTAATGAAAATAAAAAGAAAAATGAAAAAAAATTAAAAGTAAATACAATTGAAGTTAATTTTTTTTCTTCATTTTTTTCACCCTTTTTTCTTTTTCATTGTATAATTTTATTTTACAAATCCAAGATCTAAACTCCAAAACAAAAAAACAAAAGCAAACAAACAAACAACAAATGTCAATGCTTTGAGCTTATGTCATTATCATTTAATAGGGGGTTTAAAAAAAAAGTATTTAATGTGAATGCTATTTCCAAACTTGAAAATTTGCATTTTTGAAATTCAAAACGAATGAGGCCTATTCCTTGATTTTCTAACAATAATAATAATATGATGGGGACAAAAAAAAAAAAAAATCACAATAACTAAACCAAAGCTTCAAAATTTGAAACTTGAACTTTACTCAAAATTTTATCCCACTGAGTCAATGAAAACAATCGATTAAAGTTTGATTATCAAACCTGATATAATATACAATAAACAAGATTGCCAGAAATTTTCAATATCTTAAAATATTAGAGTTTTATATTTGTTCGTATGAAGTGAAAATATATGAAATAAAAAATTGAATGAGAGAATGCATAATTTATAAATTTTTCATTTGTCGTCTTCACTGTTTAACAAAAGTGAAGTTTATTACATGGATTATGTAATCCTATGAATTGCATACACACACACATATATATTAATGAGCTTGTGATACATATAAAGCTTGATTATTGAGTTTTCTGTCAAGTAAATATTATTTTTTTTAATCAAGCTGAGTTAACTTATTTTAGTCAAATTGAGTTGTGAACATTTGTTGAATCTAAATACAGCAAACTAAATTCACTTGAGTAATCCTAAACAAGTCATTCTCAATATTTGTCTAACTCCCACCTAAGAGACTGAAAAACAAAAAATAATAAATAAATGGGAGAAGTAAGATATTGAAATGAAACTTTTTAATTTTTGAAACATTACATAAGTAATGTCACATAATAATCTATGAGTAATTGATAATTATAGGTAAGAGGGGATATGAAATGAGAGAGAGAGAGAGAGAGAGAGAGAGAGAGGGAGGGACAGAGACAGAGAGAGAAGAGTATATAGAGGAAATAATTTGACAAGGAGATTAATTAAAGAAGAAAATTTAATGTGAGAAGTGAGACCTGGATATCTATGCGTGAAGGTATCCCATATGCTAGGACCTCTACCACCTTCATTTGCTGCACCTTCGTACTAAAAAAAAAGAAAGAAAAAGGTATGCATGTGAAAAATATTATTTGTCACTTTGACTGAATTGCTTCAGACACATCTAAATAGTTGATTTGTGTGAGTCCTATATAAATTCCATAAAAATTAATGACTCATGCCTATTTGAAACAACATGTCATTTTCCTATTGATCTTTTTAATTTTGGTGCAAAAACAGTTTACGAAAGTAAAAAAGATAATTTTTTGGTGTTTTGTATAAGATTGTTATTTCAAAACAAAATCCTCCAAAAGTTTTAGGAAACAATTCAGCAAACTTTTTTATTTTTTGTTTTTGTTTTCTAAAAATAAAAACAAAAATCAAAAGCTCAAACCAAACAACATAACTTTTTCTTGATGGGCAACCAATCAACATAACAAATAGCACAAATATGAACCGCAATATACCGCTGATTGAGGTAGATAAATAGGAACCTGATACGCAGAAGAGGCTGTGCCAAAGGTAAAACTGGGTGGAAAACTGGTGCGATTCAGAGAGTCACTGCTATAACTACTATGTGTTGAAGCTTCTTCACTGCCATGTGTTGTGGTTGTTCTTGATTGAGCTATTACAAGGAGGAGGGACAAGAGTATATAACCCATAACTGATTTTGGTTACCCTCTTAACTCTTGCATGTTTTGGCTTTAAATATATAGTGCCATGAGAATAGTTTAAAAATTGTTGCCTTTTAATGAGATTTTTTTTGTACGTTAATAGGATAACAAGTGACACTATTTTTTATTAATCATTAATGTATGTATACTCTTTATTATTCTCTAAACACTTGAAATAAATGTAGTGGATTTTATTCTCAAAACCAATCACAATAGTAGAAGATACCACATAACAAATACCTTATCCGCATACAAAAATTACGCATATACTTATATGGCGAAACGTGAAATAATAACAATCTTAAAATCCGTTGATTAAAAAAAGAATACTGGAAGTAAGATTTTTCTCTAAACTCATTGATTCACAAAAAATACGGAGAATAAAAACTCAACAATAGTTGATTCACAAAGTATATCCAAAGTTGAAACAAAAGAGCCCAAAACTTGAAATATATTAACTTTCAAAACTATCCCCCTTGCCCTAAAGCTTACATCTTTATTTATAATAAATACATTTTTTTGTAAAATAAGAAACTAATAAAATAGGAAATAAAATCAAAACTAATAAAGTAAGAAAATTGCATCATATCAAACTAGGAAACTAAATAACTAAATAATTCTATAACATTCTATAACATTCTATACTAAATTAGAAAATTCCTAATCAACTATTAATTTCAAAAAAATAAAATAAAAATATTTATTTTTTAAAATTCGGCTTGCATAATGATGCAACTGAATTTAAAAAAATATCATAATGATGCAAGCCGAAATTTAAAAAATAAATATTTTTATTTTATTATTTTAAAATTCATAGTTGATTAGGAATTTTTTAATTTAGTATAAAATATTATAGAATATTTAGTTATTTAATTTCCTAATTTGATATGATGCAATTTTCTTACTTTATTAGTTTTGATTTTATTTCTTATTTTATTAGTTTCTTATTATAAAAAAAATTGGGTTCATTATAAATAAAGATATCAGCCTTAAGGTAAGGGAGATAGTTTTTGAGAATTAATATACTCGAGGTTTATACTTTTTTGTTCAAACTTTGGATATTCTTTGTGAATCAACCATTGTTCAGCCTTTATTCTCAGTATTGTTTGTGAATCAACGAGTCTAGAGAGGAATCTTATTTCCAGTATTCTTGGTTGAATCAACAGATTTTAAGATTGTTAATATTTCGCATTTCGCGCTACATCATATATTCTATCTACATACAAAAATTACTCTTAATAAATTGAGAGATTAGACAATAATTTATGTAAGAATACAGTTCGTTTGATCTTCTTAGTCAAATTCCATCATCTGTGTCTATTTAAAAAAAGAAAAAAAGAAAAAAGAACCATTGTATTATGTCAGAAAAATATACATGATCTCCTGTGATGTTAAGTATGTAGAAAAATTATCTACAAAAATTCTCAAAATTAAAATATTTGTCTCAATTTGACTCTGATGTGTTCCACACTAAATGTACATTCAAACTTTGAATATTTTTCTTGATATATTTATGCTCTCTCTCTCTCTATCTACACATTGAAATCTTGCTTGTGAGCTAGGCATAATCTAAATCTCATTACTTCTCATTATTACATACAAGAACATTGAATAATATAGACATTTCAATAGTCAACATTTATACTAAATCACCATTTTTCTATTAACGATATCCAACATGAGATTTCACAAAAGAGAGATCACTTGCATTAATACATTTATCATCCTTAAGACATGAATTTTTATAGCATGTGATAATAACAAATTAAAGCAACAAAATACAAATTAATGCCTTAATGACTACAAGTTCCAAGGCTTTGCCCGGTTACAACAAAGTGGTTTTCAAACTCATACATAGATAGTCCTTGGCTTGCAAAGAAAACAAAACAAATAAATAATTAACCCTTGTGCTCCAAAAGATCCTCCACGCCTTCACTTTGGTGGAGGCACACCACAATCACCTGAAAAATGGTTTCCATTAAGGGATGAGTATAAAGCCCAGCAGAGATAATCAAAATAAAGTGCATGCAGTTTAACAATATCATGAGGTGCAATGCATATGAGATGCCAATGCCAAAAGTCATAGGTTTTCTCATTTCGAAATTCTCATGCCATGCATTTGTTTAAAAGCATAGCCAATTCAATCACCCATTTCATGGAACAAGGGGCGGTAAATATGACACTGGAAATCCCTAGGTTGGTGTCTGCAAGTAGGCATAACTAGCACTACCAATCTCCACTTTACCGCCTCCTAACCGGAAGGCACGTGGCACCTACTCCACGCTTGTTTTCGGTCTTTCACCCTGGACACTCAGGCCAACTTAAACAATACCAATCTACACCCCCTATTTGGATTTACCAAACGTATTTATCCCATAACTCAACACATTTCAAATATTCTCAATGAATCAATTTGAAAATCAACTTCTCAAATCTAATGCATGAATTAAATCATGAAATTATACAATATTTAATGCCATGCATAAATTTACAAATATTTTAATTTACCTATTACACATGCAATTTCTACAATAATTAATACAACCCTCCACGATTGCCCAAACAATTATCTCTATACAAAATATAAATTTCAAGAGACAAATATAACTCATAATTTCATATTTTTAATCATTTCAACATAGGAGTAACAATCACATATTCAATCTCCTCTTTCCCAACTCAATGAAGAATCATAATATTCTTTTTTTAAAAAAATAATCAACCTTCCCTTTTTATTCAAACTCGAGAATTTTCATAATGCCAAAAATAACATACTTTCTTTCAACAATTCTCAATACCTCAACATGACAAATATTCTCATCTTTCTCAAAAGTTCAATATTTTCAAATTTAACAATTTTCAAAAGAAACCTCAATGGTTTTCAATATTCTCAACAACATTCTCATCAATCTCATCCCTATAAACTGATAAGCAGCAGCTCAAAGCTCAAGCCACAGCTAACAGATCAAATCCTGCTCAGAGCTTACAACAGCAGCCAGTAGTCTCCAAGCACAAGCTTCAGAATCACATGTGTATTGTTAAAGCTAGGTAGTTAGTTTGTTAGCTAGGTAGTTAGTTTGTTAGAGTTTAACTATAGTTTAGTTAGACAGTTATGGTCAGGTTAAGTGTATTCATTCTGTATAAATACTAGTTCTCTGTATAATGGTTGAGGTATTGAATAAGAAAAAGATATTTTTCTCTGATTGTCTTCATGGTATCAGAGCATTAAGCTCTTACGAGCCTTGATCCTTCAGCAACAGTTTCTTCATGACTTCTCCAAACACCATTGCTGCTGTTCCATCTTTTTCAATCTCTATGTCTTCATCTATCACACTGCCTTCAAATCTCACATTGTTAATCTCCAATCTTAATGCCTTCGTCACCACCAAACTTGACTCCTCAAATTACATAGTTTGGAAAAATCAGTTGCAGAATATCTTGCGAGCCACAAAGTTTCTTGGTTATGTGGATGGATCTGAGGTATGTCCTCCATCGGTTGTATTAGATTCGAATCGTGAAGTTCTAAATCCAAACTACACTCTGTGGTGCACCATTGATGCACACTTACTAAGCTGCATCACTGCTACACTTTCTCCATCCATCTTTACCACTGTCATTCATTGTCAAACCAGTCAAGAAGTCTGGAGTGTTCTTGCCAAGAGATTTACTTCTCTTTCCAGGTCTCACATCTATCAATTAAAGAACAAACTAAATCGAATTGTTAAGAAAGGATCCACCATGGAAGAATATTTGAATCATTTCAAGATAATATCAGATGAGCTTGCCTTGGCTTCATCACCTGTTGATGAGGAAGATTTAGTCCTCTTGATCTTGAATGGTCTTCCTGAAGAATACAATGCTTTGAAAACTACCATACGAGCTAGGTTTGAACCTATCTCACTGGATCAACTCAGTGCCTTACTCTGTTCCGAAAGTATACATGTGGAATCTGCTCTTAAGCACGCACATGCTTCAGAAATTCCTGGTTCTTTTGCCTACGCTGCTTACAGAAGTAATTAAGGGCGGTTCTAGAGGCTCCTATAGAGGCAGAGGTGTTTTCAGAGGTCGAGATGGGGGTAGATTTCGAGGTCAACCTAGTCATAGTTTTCAGTATCAGAAAGGAGGCAGCACTCCATCTTAGAGAGGCAGATCAGCTACACATGCAAACAGTCCTAATGCCGGCTACAGTCCACATACGAATAGTCCTTATTCAAGCTCCAGTCCTCCTGTGATCTGTCAGATTTGTGGAAAAGGAAACCACACTGCTCTAGACTGCTGGTACAGACTAGATGCAACATTTCAGCTTCAATCTCAGAATTATTTTTCTGGTTCTTCAGTCTCTCCCAGCCATCCACAAGCATATGTTGCAGCCAGCTCAAGTCCCCAGTCTGGCTCCAACAGTTGGTTTCTTGATTCTGGAGCAACCACTCACATGACACATGATTTGAACAATCTTTCTCTTTATCAACCCTTTCAGGGCTCAGATCAGGTAGCAGTAGGAGATGGCAACACACTTCCTATAGCTCATACTGGTAAAGGATTGCTTCCAACTCCTTCATTTCCTTTCCAACTTAATAAACTTCTTCATGTCCCTACTCTTTCCTCCAATTTACTTTCAGTTCATCAATTAGCCATGGACAATCATTGTACTATTACTTTTGATGAGAATTCTGTTGTTATCCAGGACAAGAATACTCAGAAAGTTCTGTATAGAGGTTGCTACTCCAATGGACTGTATCCCTTCAGTTCTTCTTCCTCTGATTCTGCTGCTACCTTTTCTTCTCCAGCTTGTCTTGCTTGCTCTACTCCTCCAACCACAGCATCTGCTTCAACTTGGCATTTTCGTCTTGGCCATCCTTCCACTAAGAAGTTTCATCACATCATTTCTCATCATCACCTAGGATTTTCTTCTTCTTCTTTGTCTAATAAAGGCTCTAGTTTGTGTGAGCATTGTTGTGTGTCCAAGAGTCATAGGTTACCTTTTTGCTTGTCCAATGCTACTGTAAATAAACCTTTAGCCCTCATTCA